GAAGTCATATTATGTCTGGCCTAGAGTTTTAAAGAATACTGGGACATGGATGAGAACTAGCTAGCTGAAGCTCAATCTAGATAAGACCGAAGGGATTCTGTTAGCTTGGGGAGGGCAAGGGGAAGATATGACAAAGATGACTCCCACACTATTAAATAACTCCCACCCTTTGTGAACTGTACGCCTTGATTTTTTTTTTAACTTGCTGCCTGTTGGTTTCTGGATTGTGCTAATGGTTTTGACCTGCAAAGCCTAAATGGCTCCTGAATTTTAGAAATCTCCATAGTAATCTTGACTGACCTCCATAGAGCCGAGATAATTTCTAGAGCATATCTTAAAAAAAACCCAAAAAAACAGACTTGATTTTAAAATTGCCAGCGATGGAGAATCTACCATGTCCTTTGGCAAGTTGTTCTGATGGTTACTTACACTCACTGTTAAAAATGTGCACATTATTTCCAGTCTGAACTTGCCTAGCTTCTACTTCCAGCCTTTGGCTCATGTTATACATTTCTCTGTTAGATTAGGTTTAGGAGCCTAATCTTTCTTTCTCCATCCCATACTGATACAGTCCCCTTCAGTTTGAAGAAGAGGGGGCTGGCAGCAGGGTATTTTTTGTGAAGGGCTGTCAACTTTACAACCAATTTTTCTGATTAAATACAGGCTGTATCTTTGTGCTGCAAAGTGTGTTTGGTTATTGACAAATGCTTTTGAAGTAGAAGAGACTTGATTGGGAGAAGGGGGCATAAGGCTTTTGTGAAGGTGAAAAACCTTCTGGGGCTCTTTGTTGGGACTTTTTTTGGGGGGGTTATATTGTTTGGCTTTAACTGCGGTATCCACATTTTGCTAATATTTTAATAAAAGTAGAGAACATAGTAAAATACATATATAAATCTCATGTTTATATTGATCATTTACTAAATGGAAACTCTGGAATATAATTGAATTCATAGTAATATGAAAATGATCCTTAGGAATTTCCAGTCTTCTCTTCTGACCACTTGGCTCTTAAGCAAACAGCATTGACCCCATTTGTTCAGGATGGTTGGCTGGCATAAACCATGCTGAGAGACTGGCTGTATGGGGCGGGAAAAAGTTACCCAAGCCTGTTTGTCAAATGTTTATCCCAGAGATGCTCAGTTTTTCAAGGGACTATTGTGCAAAAACTCCACACACGCTGTCATGGAAGTGTTCACACTCAGCCACTTCTTTTCACGTCTGTCATTAAAATAATGATGTAACGGTCAGCAGCTGTTTGACACAAATATAAAAGAAAACAAGTCTTCTTTCAAGAACTAAGGAATCTCTGCAGTGCTGCCTGCCATCCCCCGTGCTGCTGCCTTTATTGCCTCTTCCCATGGCGGGCCCAGGCTTGCCGCAGGCAGAAGCTGCTCCGGCAGCAGCCCCTGTCCACAGTGGCCCGGGATGGTCATAGAGGTGCTGGACCCCAGCTCAAGCTGGGACTGAGCAATCCCAGATCGTGCGGGATCTGGGAGCTACCCCCACTGCGGCTCTGCATTTTAAATATCATAAGAGCTTGGTGGGCTGGCAGCCTGGCTCCTACGACATTTAAACTGCAGAGCTGCAGTGGGGGCAGCTCCTGGACTCGGCGCGAGCTGGGATCGAGTGACTCTTCCCTTATTGACTAATTGTGTAGTCGATAAAAATTCTATTGACTTCACAATTAGTGAAATACCCGCTTCTTAACATCCCTAGCCGGAGGAAGGAGCCACCCTCTGCAACTGTGAAACTCTGATTGATGGTGTGGAGTCATGGCCTTGTCTTCTCATCACCCCTTTTGGGAGCCCAAATGGCTGAGATCCCATAATGGGTGGCTCTTGTGCTTGAGTGACACACCAAGGCTGCATCTGAGGCAAACCCCAGGACACAAGCAGAAGAAATGCCCAATATCATTGAGCCCATAGCTACCTTATGCACCCACGTAAGTTTGGATTGCAGGAACACGTGTGGGCCTAACAGCATTAAATTGGTTACCCAATGTGTGAGCGCAGAAACTGGCTCTCTATTCCTTGCCTTAAATCTCATTTGAGTGTAAAAATATTTATAAACTGGGGCAGAGTACTTAGAGAGGAAGGTAATTTTGTAGAGTGCTGTAGTTGGCGGGAACAGTTAACAGTTGGAACCTTGTTGACCTTTCACTGTTGGACAGGATAGTGATTCAGTGTCCCACCTGTTCCCTGTTTGCATTTGGGCACCAATTCAACACCCATACCGGAAAAGTTTTATAGGCAAACATTATAAAAAGTGGTGGTCTTAGTGCTGCTATAAACACAAAGACTTACCTGAAATAGCTCACTCCTTCCAAACACTGCTTAGTTATTTCACGACAACTCTTGGTGCTGTACCATCCCTGCAGATATTAAGAGAGAATAATGCACTGACTAGGTCAAGGAATACTACCTTGTACAGTCCATTCTTTGTTGGCTTCCTACTAATTTTTCTTTCAGGGAGGTGATAAAATATGACTGTTCACTTGTGCTGAAAGATTAAGTAGGATAGCCATTTAAAAAAGAATGCATTTAGGATTGGGGTTTGAATATGGTTTATCTTTCACAGCATGTAATCAAAGTTGGAGTAGTCTGTATGTAGGGCCAGCCCACAACATTTTGGCACCTGAGGCGGGGAGCTCAAATGACGCCCCCATATGCACATATGCTCCAGCAGCAGACACAATTTTCTACACTCTGGGTCCTAGTGCTGCCCCCCCCCCCCCCACACACACACACAGTCTGGCACCTGAGGTGGCCGCCTCAGTTTGCCTCATGGTAAGGCCAGCCCTATCTCTATGCGGAGACATTGCAATGGGAACCAGAAATGCTCGGTCTATTTGCGTTCTTGGACTGTTCAGAAAAAAGCCCCCAATAACCATGAAAGGAATACTGAATAATGTTATCAACACCTATATTGATATTTAAAGAAAGTCATTTTTAAAGTTGGCTGCAAATTATTGTTCTAGAATAATTCTGTAAAAGACACTGACTGTGAAGGTGAAGCTACAGAGAAGTATGTCAGTTCTTGTACTGCAAAAGCAAACTTGTCATCTTGTTTGTTTTTGCAGTTTCAGGTAACTTTTTTTTGTGTGTGCCGGGATGTGATTTTTTTTTTTTTTAAGTTTTCTTGGATTTAATGTTTACTGAAATGAAATAGATGGAGAATCTAGATATGCCAGTATATTAACTGTGTAAATAATTAACCAATAAGCCTGGTGCAGCCAGCTTCCCAGGAGTGGGGCTGCAGGAGCTGGTGCATGCTGGGAGCCAGTTTAAAAGCCGCCTCCCAGCATATGCCGGTTCCTGCTGCCATGACTCCTGGGAAGCTGCCTGCTGCCCTACACGCTGCCTTTGATACAAAGGCAGCAGCACGGAGTAGCAGCAGGCTCCCAGGGAGCGGGGTGCACTTGGTTTCGAGGGAGCTGGCAGCGAGTGTGTGTAACCGTGTAATCACTGAGTTTTTCAGCATTACCCATTTTCACAGTTACCCACATTTTAACATCCCTATTAGAAACCACTTATCCTCCATCTGAAGATGAATTTGTAATAGCACTATTTGGTGCACTATGTCTCACCTGTGTTATGGATCAATGGAATTCTTAATATCATAAGAATCATAAAAGATTAGGGTGGGAAGAGCCCTCAGGAGGTTATCCAAACTCCTGCTCAAAGCAGAACCAGCCCTTACTAAATATTTCGGCATGTGTGTGAGGTAAAATGAGTTTGTAACAAGTGTAAAGCTGTATTGTAGCTCTTTGAATACTTCTGCTAAAAAATATTGTTCCCAAACGTGAGAGTTGACATCACCTATGTTAAAATGTTGCTTGGATATGTATATTTTATTTATAAATGTGCACACAGGCATACTTAGTGTCTGCATGTTGTAGGATATTTATTGGGGTTTTTATGGCATACACTCCTTAGTACTCAGGATGCTCTCCTTCCTTGCTGTTGGGTTTCTAACGCTTATCTTCCATGTTGCACAAGGTCCTGTCCTACTTGAGGGGAAAATACTGGTGTAGCTGTTGAGTGAATTTTCAGTGTTCTTTTGGGGTTTTACCTTGGGAGAGGGCGATTTGGCTCCACAAATATAGGAAAACTTAATTTGCATAGCAAATTTCTTTGAGAAAACAGCTGCTGAAATGTTTGTGACTATCCTGGTACAGTAAAGGAACAAGTGGGTGAACTGTCTCATCTTGGGTCTGAAAGTGTGACTCTCGTGTCACTAGGTTGTTCCCATTCTACTCAGAAGAGACCATGAACTAAGAAATGGAGAGAACCAATTCAATGGAAAAAATGACTGCGAGTTGGAGCAGAGGGTGGGCAGTATGGAAAACAAATATAGAAAGTCTGAAAAAGGAGCAGAGAGGTGCCAAAGTGAGGGAATAAATTAGTCATATATACTGTGTATTAGTAATGGATTTATGCCATTTTAGATTTTGTGCTGGCATCCTTTTATCCCTACTCAGAACCTCTCAGGTAGACATTATTTTTGTTTGTTTTCTAAAATGAATTTCTCTTGAGGGGGGAAATATCCATTCATTTAAGTACAGAGATAAAGTAAATGGTCTCAATTTTGAATTAGTGTTGTGAGTCACTCCTTTTTACCCCCCAATCCCAAATTGCCTTGAGATCCTCAGAATCTCAGACTCAATGACATTCCCCAGTCCGTAATTAGAATATTTTATGGGCAGCTTATGGTGAAGAAGCAGTTGTGTGATGTGTCCCTACTAATTATATGGAAAGCTATCCCAGTGAAGAAGGACCAGTGCTGCTTTGCCGGGGACTTTTGTGGTTTGCTTTTCACAAGTAAAATCTGCTTTGTACCTGCATGCGTTTCAGTTTTATGAAACAGGTTGCTGGGAGAATCTGAAAATGAAACTTTTTTTAAAACATAATTGCTGTGGATGAAAGGAGCCTTCACTGACTTTTGTTGGCAATTCTCTCCTTTCCCTTTTTCTTTTTCCTTCCTTCCTTCCACTTTTGCAGAGCCACCAACCAAATACCAAATCTCTCAGCCGGATGTGTACTCAGCACTTCCAGGAGATCCAGTTGAGTTGCGTTGTCTGCTGAAAGATGCCATCATGATCAGTTGGACTAAAGATGGGGTCCAACTGGGGCCCAATAATAGAACAGTGATTATTGGGGAATACTTGCAAATTAAAGATGCTACACCCAGAGATTCAGGCCTCTATGCTTGCACTGCTGTTAGGACAACAGAAAGTGATACATTATACTTCATTGTAAATGTTACAGGTAAGTGAGCTGATCACAGATCTTGCATGTAGTAGCAATTTTCAGTATTAAAGGTTCCATAGAAAACTACTTCTGTTCATTTTTGAAGAAGTCCAATCTGACATAAAGAATACACAGAATAGCCTTTCATCTAGCCAGGTTTCTAATATTTTCTCCTCCAGCCAGATTCTGACCAGGGGCAAACTGGCATAACACTTCATTTACCTCAGTTGACCTATGCTGATTAACACCAGGTGAAGATGTATGAATTACTAAATTACAGGATTAGACTATACAGAGGGATCACAATGATAAAACAGCCTGTGTAATTTAGGTAAATAATAAAATTATCATATGAGAAGTCTAAGCCAGGGATGCTAAATATTGGTTAATTGAATAGTCGATTAACCTCATGAATTCTTATTAGTTACTCGACTATTCTGTAGTCCCTGGGGGTGGGGCCAGCATGATACTCCCGAGGAGCTCCCTGCCACTGCTGCTTCTGTATCAGAAACAGCAGCGTGGGGTGCCAGGCAGCAGGTGGGCCACGAGGGGAGCCAATTTAAAAACCAGCTCCCCTCGCAGATCCATTTTTGGTCACCCTTCACTACTGCCTCTGATACAGAGGCTGCACTGCATGGTGGCAGCAGCCCCTTTCCAGTTGGCAAGGGCGGGAGGGGAGGGCTGAGTTTCCAGATTTGGCAAGAGCCAGGACTGAGCCTGGCTGCTGGCCAGTCTGCTGAAAAAATTAACTAGCAGGGGAGACGGAGGAAATGCATTAACCTGTAAGCTTTTGCTTATCGATTAATCATTTAATCGACTACACTATTACATCCCTAGTGTAAGCATATCCCGAGAACCTGCCATACGGTTCTGCATGTTGCTGTGTTACTTGCATCCTACAGTCTGTCAAATGACAAATAATTCCTGAGACAATAAGAGATTTTTAAAGAAAAAAAATCATAAAAGAAATTGATTTTTTTTGTAATTAGCAGCATTGCTTTTAAATCTTTGCAGTAATTCCATGATTATTATCCAGTTTTAGTTGAGTTTGTAAGAATAATTTTATGATTGGGTGTGCTACTTATGAACTTTAGCACATTTAAAGAAAATCTAATTCAGACATACTTTGTTTAGGTGTTCTAAAGCACTGTTTCTCAATCAGTGGTACGAATACCCTTAGGGGTATGAGAGAGAAGTCTGAGAGGTACATAAACACAACTGAAATTTGGAGAAAACTGAATTTTTGTTTTAATTTTTACAGCGCTTTATTATTTTTGTACTTTTTACACCCAAAAATTTCATCACTTGCCCAGCTGCGGTTAAGTTGTTTAAACAAATGCATTGCAATGGTAGAAAAAAAAATTTGTGTATCTGAAAACTATAGGTACTAGGGGTACTTATAATTTTTTCTATAGGTACTAGGGGTACTTTATAAAAATGATTGAGAAACACCCTTATAATTTTTTTTTAAAGGGGCACTTTATAAAAATGATTGAGAAACACTGTTCTAAAGTGCAGGAAATTGCATGTGCTACACAATGCTTTGTATAAAATATATAAAAATCTTTATGCAGATGCTCTTTCGTCTGGAGATGATGAAGAGGACAATGATGGCTCAGAGGATTTTGTGAATGACAACAACCACATGAGTAAGTAACAACCAACTTCTGGAGGTGACTGGTGGGATCCATGTGGAAAGTAGTTGCTTTTTAACCTTTTGCAATGTCAGCCACTTGGTTTCTTGTCTGTTAAATGCATGTGATATCAATCGCAATAACTTTTCCAACTGTTTTCTCTGTGTAACTTATTTCAAGACTTTGGAACATGAAAATAAACTAACATTGTTTCATACCCAGTTTGTTTTACTGGTGTGTTCTTTCTCTCTTAGTTTATCATTAACTCTTTAGTAGTTTTCCTTTACTTTCTGCTTTTGTGTCTGATTTGAAATGTAATGAAAGAAAAATAATCTATTTTGAGAATGAGTTAATTGAAAGGTGGTTTGAAACTATTTTTAACTGAACCTTAATGGACCAAATGCTGAAGTCTTTACTCATCCAGAAATTCTACTGGAGACAATTAATGGATTTAGAGACCATGAGATTTATTCCTGGAGTGAAGACTGCAGGATTTGATCCCAGGAAAAGCGCTTCCTCTGATTAATAGTCCAACTAAACTCGAATAGCTATGATACTCAGTTAATGTGAAAGTGGGTTCTATGTGAATATTAAAATTCCTTTTGGTTATTTAGAGCATTATTAATATAGCTTAAATGGAGCAATCACTAGGAAGAAAAATGTATTCACATTGATTTCTTATGTGGCACCATGGAATATATTATTCAACCCTGTGGATTACTGGTAGTGAGCTATTGTGCACACTGTGTAGTGTCACTGACTTAAAGAATATAGACTGCTACATTTCATATTAACTTACTTAAAGAACATTCATTAGAGATGTCATATCGTTACAGTATGTAGCACTCGAGTAGGATGTTCATTCTTTAGGCTGCTTTGTAAGTAGCCCTTGGGTGGCATATAATATGTTGCCAAAAATACATTCAAATAATTAAGTATCAGTGTTGATCAGTTGTACTGGATATACTACTTATATATTTGCCTTTGTTCTGATGATGTGAAATATTAGATGCTATTAAAATTATATAAGTTCTTAGCTGACTGTTTGGCCCTTGCCATATGTTAGGTCATTTAACCACTTACTGGAGGATCGATGCTCTGGCCATTGATCTTCCAGGGTTCGATTTAGCAGGTCTACTACAGACCTGCTAAATTGAATGCTGAAGTCATTGGTTCTGAATGCTGATTCAGGGCTCAATTTTGCAAAGCACAGAATGCCTCACAAGGTGTTGACTGTTAGCTTCTCTTGGCCTCCATGGAAGAGTGCATTGCCATTTCCAGCATTGTTACGTCATAATTATTACACCAGGTACATCAATGGGAGTTGAATGGCGGTCACTAACTTGAAGGCTTGTCTTAGCTCTTCATCCTCATTGCTGAGAATGCTGACATGAGTATCAATTGTGGTGATTTGTGTGATGATGCTTATCCATAAAGACATGGACTGAGGCCATCAGATGTCATTCCACATGGGCCTCTCACTGTCTGACAAGTCCCTTCTAACTTGGACTAAATTCTAATATATGAAAGGTAGCATATCCCATCTCAGTCCTGTGAACATCCAATTCCTGTTTCCATCTCCTTTTAAATTGTTTCCTTTCAGTTAAATAGCAGCATATTGGTGCTATGAATAGTCGGTTTAAAACAATCCGTATTTAAACCTTGTGTTCTCCATTTGAAGCTTGTGGAATAAGAATAAGCTATATATTTATAAGCTACCATAAGATTTACCTGGTGTTGCTCTGGTCCTTGACTCAGCTTTTGGTTTAATGGAAAATAAAATGAAAATGTTCATACTTTGTTTAAGTTATTGCTTCGGGCCAGAGCTGGGAATGAGGAGTTCACTATGCAGGCTGCCTTAGGGAGAGAGGACTACACCAGCTCCCTCTCACCACAGCAGCTTGCGGCCAGGTGAGGAGCACCTTTCCATGGCTGCTCCAGCTCCAGCAGGCACAGGGGGAAGAGGGGTGCTTGTCCCCTAGTAGGGTAGGTCCAGGTTCCTCTGTCTCCTGTGCTCCCCTGTCAGAGTGAGGAATGTAGCAAACTGCACTTTCCCCTCAGTCCCTGACGAAAGGGAACAGCCAGCAATGTTCCTGTACAAACATTCAGCTCCCCCTTCCCTCCTCCCTATAGGGTCCCTGGGTGGTAGGAGGATCAGGGCTGGGGCAGTCTTGAATGCGGGGTGGAGGTGGGGGTGCCCCCAGCCAGCCCCTTTTACCTGCCTAGTGATTCTATCTCTTTTCTGTATGGTTTTATGAGAAACAGTCCCATTCCAGGCATGTTCCATTTTCCTGGCACAACCAAACCCTTCCGTTGCTTTAAGTTTGTGATAAGAGTAAGTTGTATACCAAATTTGGTGGTCTTAGCTCTTACTGTTTAGGGCAGTGGTCCCCAACCTTTTGGGGCTGCCTGGGACCAGGGCCGCTCATGTGGGAGGGGCTGCTCACACGCCGCGCATCTGGAGGCGGGGCTGAGCATGCGCTGCGTGCCCGGGGTTAGGGTCAGCCCAGATCATTCGGCGGGCGCACATAAATGCCCCAGCGGGCACCATGGCACCCATGGACACCGCGTTGGGGACCACTGGTTTAGGGGGAGTTCTTGAACAGGCAGACAGACAAACTCTCTCAAATATGTAGTAGGTAGATGATGTCGGTCTATAGAGTGATAAAAAGGTGCTAATGAATCAAACTTGAGAGCAGAAATCTTCTGAGGGGAGCAGAAAAAATTGGTTGTCTAGCAGAAGTGGTCTTTAATTAAAGGTCAAATTCAATTGTACTGGAAATTCCAGGGATACTTTAATGTGGTCAATTAAAATACCGTGTTGTTTGCTGCAGGTGATCCTTAGTCAAGCTTCAGTGTAGTTGACATCTTTTATATTTGTCTTTATTGGATACTTTTTGTAGGTTTTCATAAATCCTTAAGCAAAATGGTCCTGTAAGCTTGTCTAATTTCAGGTTTGCATGTACAAGATTTGCCTGATTAGTTTTAACCTGTTGCTAATTACATCAGCAGAATATTTTCTTAGCTAACAACAATTCTAAAAGTAATCAGTAATTCTTACCAGTTCAGTATGTTTACTGTTATTGTACTTTAAACTGATGTACTGTAATTATCAGTATACATTTAAGAGTCTCGTCGTGAAGCAAAGACGTGAACAATATTGCTCATAAAAAGATCCTGCAGATGTATTGTGTACTGATCCTTGGTTTTAGTAGATCTGGTAAAAGTTTTTTCCTAAGCCAATTAAAAGCACTGTTAGTCAGAAGTAAATCTAGAAAGAAAGAAAAGTTACTTTTCTTTGATGATTTCTTCTTAAGAAACCAAAACAAAGTGTAGATGTATGTTACAGGTCTGTAAATGCTGGTGACTCTTTGTTTTATTTCTTTTTTTTAAAAAAAATGGTACATTGCTAAATATCTCTCAATGATTGTCTGAGGAAATACCACAAAGCACTTTGAAGAATTGATTATTAACATGAAATGATCTGTTTTATTGTAGTAGAAATATACTAATTAACTAGTATTCTACTTGCTCAAAGAGGCATTGTTTTGGGGACCATCCTTCCAACTAAGGTCTGGATCCTGATTGCCTTGGTTCTGTTGTGCTGGGAAGAATATTCTGGAAATAAGCCTCCAAGCAGTACTGAGTCCAGGCCTGTAAATTGTGGAGCAGCACTCCATTGCCTTTTGCTTCATGATGGTGTGGAAGAGGGGAGAAGGTTCTGCAATTATGGGGTTCCACTGGGTAGCTGCAAACCTTGTGAATGCACATACACTCTCCTACATTGTATGCTCGAGTTCAATTATGGGGTTCCACTGGGTAGCTGCAAACCTTGTGAATGCGCATACAATGTAGGAGAGTGTATGCTCGAGTCAGTGTGTGCAGTGGACATGGCTACTGTGTGTTATTATTGGGCCTGGCAGAATTTGATTTTTGATATTTTCGCTGGACCATATCTGTTTGTTTTGAAAATTTTTCCTTTTTTATAGATTTTAAAATTATCACATTTGTAGAAAATTATGGAGGGTCAGATGATAATTATTTAATGACAATAGTTGCTGAGGTTCAAACATTCAAAGCTTTATATTTGTTAAAACGCAGATTGTGAACATCATATGTAAAAAAAATGCAAAGTAAATAAATAGCCTTAAAAAATGCTAATTAACTTTCAAGTTATGTTTTTTAAAACCTTGCTTATTTTAAAAAGTTGGTTGTTTTCAATGGAAATCTTTTTGCATTGGTTTTGTGTGTATGAAATCCATGTTTCTGACATTTACAAACCCTCTCTCCCCCTCAAAAAAACACTCCTGAATCGTTCCAAGTCTAGTTAGTGTTGGCTATTAAGCTGCTGGGTTGGTGCTACAAGCATGGTTGGAAGGATTGTGTGCACTCAACTCTCTGTAGGTTCAGATTATCACAGTGAGGAACCCAGAATAAATAAATGGCCAGGTAGGTAGGGAGGTTGCCTGTGCAAATGAAGTTTAATCAGACTTCAAGAATCTTGGATTTAGCCCAGTGAGCATATCTGTTTGATCACATTGTATTACCTTGTTGAAAATGCTTAATGGTGCAGAGAAAATATTCTTTTTATGTATTAGAACTTTAAAGCAATTCTTCCGCTGCTTGATGCAGTTTTAATTTAATTCACTTTTTGCTAAATGAGGTAAATTCCTTTGGTCTTACTACTTCAATTTGTTGAAGGAGTCTTTGGTGTGTTAAGGTAATACTGCTTTTAGCTGATAATGTTAATGCTTTCCTCTGCATCCTTATTCGCTTTGGATCATTTAGCAATTTCTTGGTCCTACAGTTTCATTTCAAGTACTTACAAGTTACTTAATTTTATATTTCAACTGCATGTGCAAATTTGCTTTTCTTTCCTTGTTCATTAATTTTAACACTAATTGCTTCTTCAGGCTAAAAAAACCCACTTATTATATCTAGCATAATTTTAAGACTTGCTTTTGGAATGTTTGTCTTGATGGAGGAGAGGTTGTTAAAGAATTTATTCCTGTATTTCTGTCCAGCTGTATTTTTCTTTTGTGGGGGGTGACAAGATTTCTGAGATTTTACTGATTCTAAGAAGTGCTATAAATATTTGAAGAACGGAAGAGTTTGTTTATAGTGGAGTACTAGACTGCTAATGAAGGAAATGAAACAGAGCTGAGAGAAATGCGGTTATTTTTCTAGACCCCTTTTGTCTTAAAAATTCCATGCTAATCTGATTGATTTCAGGAAGAATCCATTGTAAAATATACTGTTAAACAAATCTTGATGATTTTTTAAAAATAGGTAACGTGGCGTAATTAAAAATGTGTCCTCAAACCACCAGCAGTTTAGGCTGAGTAGCATACACTTCACTTGAGAGGACCAGATCTAGTATTGTAGGGATGATAGGATAGTGCAAAACTGAGCTGAACTGGCAAATTCTGTGGGGAAACTGGTACTATGCATGGCTTATATAACCAGTGCTAATTGATGCTCATGAGTCATGGACATCAGCTATTTATTTATCTGTGTGTGTGTATGCAATTATTTTTTCCAAACTCCATATTCACCCGGTAAAAACAAACTGATTGTCTCTGATTTTTTTGTTGATCACATTTGTAATTTTGGTACATGGCATACTAAGGGCCCAATTTTTAGATACTAGAATCCTTACACACATACACACACATCACATTCATTTACGAACACCAACCATAACTGCAGCTGGAAATGAGTATCTGGAAGTCTAAATATCTTTTTGAGTGCGGTAATGGTAATCATTTGGGTAAATGTAGCATAATGATAATCATTTATATAAACGTAGACTCATAAAAACAACCACTGGGTTATTCTGGCCAATGAACTGTTGGCTTGAAAGATCTTGACAAGCTCAGTGAAGAAATCTAAAGGTTGCTACATTGTCCTTGTATCATCAGGATTTTTTTAAATCAGGTAGTCTTTAACACACATGCTGTGAAATTCTGGTTGAATCCTGCTCACGCACACATGCATACACACACAAAAAAAAGCTATGTCCTGATGAAAGAGCATGAAATACAATTTTGCCAACTTGAGTCTGGCTTTCCTTCAAATTTATGTTGAGACCACCACTCTGCAAACCTTTTGTAGCAGGGATTGTGCAAAAGTGTTCTTGGGAAGCGTTTGCCTCTTCCTGTTGGTATACTTGACTCTTTTGGCTGTCCTCATCTTCTCAGATAATTCATATTCCCAACATAGGAGGTACTGTTAATTGAGCTGTGGCCATTCAATACATAGGCAAAAATGAATTGAGTCCAAATTTGCCCTTGGCATGTAATGTTTCTCACTTTTTAGATCCTTGTAACTTTTGAGTTCCTTGAAAGTTTTGAGAGACAGTCAAGTAAATTAAAGGTATAGTTCTCTTAACTCTAGTGACGCATCAGCAGAACTGTGATTGGAACTCAGAAGCATGTGACCCCCTGTTATGTGCTAACCAACCACATTGTCTCCCACAGACAATTCACATAAAACCAAACATGAAGCCTCCTGGCAGTGGAAAGAGAGCTCAGAACAGTTTTCAGATACTTATTTTTGAATATTTATCTTTTGGAAACAGGAGCACCCTACTGGACACACACTGACAAAATGGAGAAAAGATTGCATGCAGTCCCAGCAGCTAACACCGTCAAATTTCGTTGCCCGGCTATGGGAAACCCAACGCCAACCATGCGATGGTTAAAGAATGGAAAAGAATTTAAACAAGAACATCGCATTGGTGGATACAAAGTAAGATTGTGTTTTATTATAGTGCCGTTTCTCATTTGCAATAAGGGTCTCATCTAAAGCCTCTTAAAGTCAATAGAAAGGTTCTCAAAGGACTTTGGATGAGACTTAGAACCCCAAAAATCCTCTGAAGAAAATTGGTTCATTTTGCCTTTCTTCTATTTGGCAGTTACTGAGCTTGTAAGCTGAGTTTTATATATAAATATTATTTCCTCCGAGACTGAAACATATTTGAAGGTACATTTGAGGAAAACTAAGGCGGAAATATCTTTACAAAACATGGGGATTTTTTTACAGAAGAGGTTTTAGCCGCATGAGCTTTCAGTGCTATTGTCCTGGAATATTCAGCTGCATTGTTAAATACAGCAATCTACACTACTGATTACAGAGCGTTTAATGAATGAAGGGTCGGAAGTCAAAAGTTGTTATTTTCTCTGGAGTTTATGGTCTGTGAAACTGAAGTGGGAAGCAGAGTTTGAGGGAAAGTAACAGCAATTACTTACTTACTTACAGGGCTTTGTTTGAATTTTAAACAGTTTAAGATTAGAAGTTTTAGTCCCAACCAGTAGTTACTGATTAAAAGGGAGATTTAGGGGGGCCAGTTAGTGCACTGGGTTAGAGCACTGATCTTTAACCTCTGGAGCAGGTCAGATCAGAGGTCAGAATTTGGCCATTGTGTCCTAGCTTTTGTTGAACATGACTTTGTCCATATGCTGGATCAAATGTGTTTGAGGGGAAGTATCCTGACAAGAATCATAATTTCTACCTTGCCCCACATTTTATGCCAGTTTTAATCCAGCATGGCTTCTGCCACAGCCATGCTGCCACTGACTGCATCTAGCACTCCTAGAAATCCCACCAAGGGAGGAGAGATTCCAAACAAGTTCAGGGGGCAGCAGTGTAACTGACAGACTCTGTCTCCTCCCGTTCCCACCAAATGGAATGGGGGGAGATGCTGGAATATGTCTTCTCTTCTCTCCTCTCCAAAAGCTGTGATCTGCACACACAAGTAGCTGGGAGCATAGAGAGAGCCTTCATTAGGGGTGTATTTACAAGAAGACTTGTCTAAAGAATTCACTCATTCTTGGCACAGTCTGCATCCACTTCATGCTAGTTATCTCCAGAAAGCTCCTGAAAATTGCTTTGTTAAGGAAATGTCTTCCTGAATGCAAAGACTTTCTTGAGCATCTAATTAGATTGTCACATTTCTCACCCGGGAAAGTGAATTTATTGGTTTTGGGTCATAAAATGTCTTATTTCTGTATGATTTATGAAATTTAGTGTAAGTTACTGTAAGTATAATAATGCCAAAGAATGTGGCAAATACTTGTTTCACCTCCTCAGGCTTTATTCTCTCCCCCCTCCCCCCCTCTGGATTCAACATTTAAGGGATCTTTTTCTAATAGTTGAGAGAGATTAGATGAGCCTCTTGTCCTGGCATTTCATCCTTCTCCCTGAAACTGTGGCACTCACTTTCACCACATTGGGGTACAGGCTCTAGTCTTGGGCCGAGGGGTTGGTGCATGGGAGGGGCTCTAGGCTCCAGCTGCACCCTGCTTACCTCAGGAGGTTCCTGAGCAGTGGTGCAGTGAGGCTAAGGCAGGTTCACTTCCACCCTTGTTCTGTGCCACTCCCAGGCAGGTGGGTCCATGCACTGTCCCCCGTGTGCAGGCACCACCTTCATGCCTCCAACTGGCCCTAATTCCACATTCCTAGTGAATGGGAGCTGTGGGGATGGTACTGACAGACAAGGGCAGCATGGGAAGACCACGTGCCCTGCCTCCCTCATGGACTGCAAGAATGTGCCAACCGCTTTCTGAAGAATGACAGAGATTCACATTCCCCTTTAAGTATGCTGAGCATGTCCAGACATAAGAGCAGCATCCAGCAAGCTTCCTCCATTTAGAGCCCTATTGTGTCCTCCATCTCTGTGGAGATGGGATACAGGAGTGGGGGGTTGGGGACACCCTGACACCAGAGACCCTCTTCTCTACCTCCCGCACCCTGCATAGTAAGATGGAGGCTCCCAGGGCTGGGGGAGCAGTTCCAAAGCAGAGGGCAGGAGAAACATGGCTGTGAGGTGCAGGGGGGAGAAGTAGGGTGGGGAGAGAAGGGGCAGCTGAAGTGCCGGCACTCGATAGCCTCCCAGCCAAACCAGTCAGGATCACCTATCAGAAGCATAGGTGCTGGAACTAGTGTTGCAGGGGGTTGCTGCAGCACCCTGTGGCTTGAAGTGATTTCCATTGCATACTGGCTTCCAAGTTTGGTTCAACAGCTCTCAGCACCCCACTATAAAAATTGTTCTTGCACCCTTGGTCAGAAGCTCCAAGATGTACCAGTAAATCGCCGGTGACTGCTAGGACAGTGGTCCTAGTAATCTGAGTAAGTTGTGCTCAGAGATAGTGTTCTAGAATGACACCCCAGAAGATTTTTTGGGGGGTGTGACACATTCATTCAAAATAATTCCTGGAGTCAGAAAAACTTCACATCCTACCAACAAATCAGCCTGTCTTAGCCTCACTGCACCACTGTCAGCAGCCACCTGAGGTAAGGGGTGCCCGTATCTTGAACCCCTGCCCCAGCCCTGAGCGCATCCAAACTCCCTCCCAGAGCCTGCACCCCAAATCCCTGCCCCAGACTCAGTCCAGAGCCCCTCCCATACTTCAAGCCCTCAGTTCAGGACGAGAGTCTTCACCCCCACCACTTGGTGAAAGTGAGGTATAAATTTTGCAGCTTCAGAATAAATTTCTTGATATTGCTCCATATTCTACCAGGCACAGCAGCATCTTCTGCTGACTTTTTAAACCGCATTGTATGTAAAGTCTTCCTGGGGCTAAAGTATGTAAAATCTGCCTGCTGTAGAATTTCAAACTCATGGTATCCAGAAAGACTTAACTAATCTAGAATGGTTAGAAGACAGCGTCTGCGTCCACCATTACTACCTGACATGACCACAATCTGTGCTTTTGGCAAAGTCAGCGATCTATGCAGATAGAAAGAGCAAATGAGAAGAAGGAAAATGTAAAATTGTTTATTGATCCTGCATTCTCTCTCCCCCTCGATCTTTCCTTTCCCCTCTTGAACTAAGAAATCTGTTCTTTTTTTCTTTTCATTATCACAATCAGATCTCAGTGCCAAGTGCTTTGTTCATTTGAGGGGTAGTGAGTCAGTTTTCACTTAAGCATGGTAGCGGAAGGGAGGTAGGCTCTAGAAGAGAATTCCTCCACAGTGAGTAACTCTGCTTTTTATCACCTGGAAAGGTATCCTTTTATGGTTTTCATGATATACTCAGAGTTCATATATCAGTAAAAATGGCCCCCTTCTTGCATTTCTAAGCCTTTTCTTGAGTCCCTTTTGAAGTGACTATGGCATTTGCTAGGTTATTTGAAGAGATTGTGTAATTTCTCAGTGTGTACTTTGAGAAGAAATTATACTCTGTGAAACTACAAGACCCTTTACTTTTTTGTTCACCACCCAGAAAGCAAATTTGCTTCTGTCAGTTGTTACTGTTTAACAGGTGTTTGTTTCCACATCCCCATTTTGATAAACTATATCACCACAGCTCTTTTCACACATTTAAATTCAATTTAGGTAAATATTGGATAAACAAATGGGTTTGAATTTATAAGAACTGTAAGAGTAAATGGCTTTTGTGTGTGCATTTTGCATTAGTTTTGAGGAACTGAGTATCTACAACAGGGAAACTGTAAAGTACTATCATTCTGCATCACTTGATGCATGACTACTTGAGCTATTTTTTATAGAGAGCCATATTAGGGTCTCAGGGTTTTGGTTCAGACTCTTCTTTAATATTTAATCCGTGTATCTGAAACCCCATAATTTTTGGAAGTATTTAGAATCCCTGTCCAAGATTTAATTTGCTGACTGGATGCTATGTTTATAATGGGGGAGTGGGACCAAATCTGCAGATCTGTACACTTAGGGAAGGTAAAGTTTTTTCTGAATTTTGGGGAGTTGCTACTAGTCTGAATTCACGTCCTGTATGTGGAAGTAAAGAAGCACAATTTGTTTCAGCAATGTAACTGATACCTTGAATTCATGGAGGCGGCTAAACAAAGCATGTTGCATGCATTTGATGAAGTGTTGTTTACCCACGAAAGCGTATGCCCAAATATATCTGTTAAGACTTTAAGGTGTCATAGGACTTCTCGGTTTTGCAGATACAGACTAATGTGGCCACCAGTCTGAGACTTATGTTAATGAGTCATCTCAGTTATGTGTCAGTTCTAGCCATGGAAGGGGTTGTTGTAGAACTTGGCAACATCTATATATAAGGACCAAATTTCCTCTTAAAAAAATTAAAACAGAACATTTACCTGTTTTAAATCTATCTGGAAGGGGAATGCAAGTATAATGTCACTGAAGAATATAGGGCTTGTCTTTGTAAGCAATTTAATTGTGTCATCACCACTGTTGGCTTTTTTTTGCTCTTCTATTTATTTTTTTCTCCTAGGGGCTGGTAAGGAGGAAGGGTTGCTGTCATTGCTTTATGGCACAGTACTTGTTTTTCTACTCCTCTGTTTCATTTTGACACACAGCAGTCTGCTGTCATTGTCATCATGTTACATCACACATCTTCTTAAGGCTAGGACTGGTCAAACATTTTCTCTCAATTCTGTTTTTCATTAGAAAGTTGCATGTTTGACTACACTTTTTTTGGGGGAGGGAGCGGGTAGAACATGACGGCTTTCTACAAAAGATCGTGACTTTTGTTCAAAAAACGATACACCTCCAAATGAAAAAGATTTTGATTTAGAAATGCTGCCATAGTGCCTCATGGGAGTTGTAGTTCAGCTGGCTCATGCCTCCTATTCAGTTTTAAAGGCTGGGTTTTACCAGTCAGACTACATCTCTTATAATGCACTACGACTAGGACCTCCCAGGAAGCACATGGACAGCATTGCTGAATAGAAATTTTTGATTTTCAGCCAAAAGTTTTTATTTTAATGTTTATTACTGAAAAGCCAATATTTTCTCTGGGAGCGGGGGAGGGGGCAAATGAAGGGAAGGAGGCAAAGGAATCCCATTTTCTGACCATCTTTACTAAATATTACTTTTTGGTTCTATCGGCACTGAAGCAATTTAGATTTCCTATTAGCATAAAGATGAACTTGTATGGTATTGATATGGTGCCCTGTGAGATTTTATTTTAAAGAATTGAATTAGCTGTAATAGTGTTACTTGGTTATGAGTCAAAACCTGGCTGACAGACTAAGCAAAAATAGCACTTCATTGATTTAGTAAAAGTGTCTATTGGGGATCATGCAAGGGTCAGTCTTAAATCCTGTTTTCATTAACAGTATTGCAGAGACAGTAGAAAAAATAGCTGCTGATGTTAAGGTAAGGGTAGCTGTAAAGATTTGAGCATAGAAAGAAAAATAAATGCAACTGGAAAAATGCAAGGTGGTATTTTGGAGCGAAGAATACTGCAAAGCATGGCTATACAATTAATAGATGATGCTTGGAAAGCAAAAATACCAAGATAAAACTAAGATGAGTGGTGAATTATAAATTATAGACATCAGCACACAATGAGATATGGCTGTAAAACATTACAGACCAGGATGTGATAATGCTTCTGTATACAGCTGCCGTTCAAATGTGTTTGGAATATTGCATGCCCTTTGGGGGGTACCCCAACTGAAGAAAAGGCCATGATAAAGCTGAGTGAAATGAAGGACACTGAAGCTAGTCAGTCTTGGTGTGGTGTGTGTATGCAAAATAATTTGAAGGGACTCAACCTTAAAGAGAGCTTAAGGGAGGTATCACTAGAAATAGTAGGGTGATAATGGACAAGGAAATATTGAAGATGGATAGTGTGAAAACTTTCCTAACTAAAGGTTAATAAAGGAATGAAATGTTCTTCCAAAGAGAGTTACTTGTCACTGGAGTTGCTCATAATCAATGGTACAATTCGTCCCTGTGATGGCTAGCACAAGACTTACATAAGACCCACATAGGCCCAATTTTACATTTTAAATGGAAATTAAGTGCTGTTTAGATCTTGACCTGGCCTTCTCCACAGGGGTCAATTTCATTTGCAAGTCCCTGTAGCTCTCAGGGTTACCTTAGAGTGTGTTTAAAAAAAATCACCGTTTAGTTCAACAGTGTCTAGCACTGTTTCAAATGGCACCACTTAAGGATCTTGGCTGAGGTTCTAGAATAGGAATGATTATAGTTAACCAGACAGTAATTTTTATCAGGAGAAACTTCCATCAGTGCAGGAAAACAGCTTTCACCATTCTATTTACAACATGGAGGCAGCGAGCCAACAAGGTAAATCAAGTTAGCAGCCAAAAATCCAATTCTGTGACAAGATGTCATAAATGCTTTGGGCATCGACAGCAAATGATTAATTTAAAGAGGCTTAAATTGTGTGTCTAATCTGAGGATACAATATCACGCACCTCTGGGATATGAGAGGGTATTTCCACTGTTGCTTTTTTTTTTTTTTTTTTTACTGTGACATCTGTTACATTCACATTTTAGCTATAAGCCATATTGTCCTATCAAAAGTTACACAAGTGATTGTATTTTCTTCCCAAATTAATTACTTGAATAGCTTTTTGTTTTGTGGATCCACAGCCTGTTTGGAGATTGTGGGCTAAAAATTCTTGGTCCGTTCTGAGAAATAATCTGACTGTATAACCTAAAAAGGCAAAAAGCACAAAAACCTTTGTATGTAGAGGGCAAGGCTGGGAGTCTGCTGGGGCAGCCTGCCAGCGGCAACCATCCCAGTTCTGGCAAACTCTCTGGCTTGGGACTGGCTAGGTCCTGATGGTGGCGGACCAGGGAAGTCCAACCTGTAATGAAGGGCAAATCTGAGGTATAATTTTCATGATAAATGTATAGTTTATGGAATTTAACAGAAATTTTATCACTGCCACTACGTCTAGACTGCATCCCTCTGTTGACAGAGGGATGCAAATCAAGCACATTGAAATTGCTAATGAAGCAGGGATTTAAATATCCTGTGTTTCATTAGCATAACATGGCTGCCACTTTTTTCCTAAACGGAGTTTTTTCGAACCCCCTCCCCTCTCCCTCACCCAGCAGTCTAGACACGGATCTGTTGAAAATAAACCCTTTTTTGACAGATCCTGTATTCCTCAAAACCTCCATTTTGGGGGGAAAAAGTGGTGGCCATGTTTATGCTAATGAAGCACAGGATATTTAAATCCCTGCTTCATTAGCAATTTCGATGTGCCTAATCTACATCTCTCTGTCGACAGAGAGGTGTAGTCTAGACACACCCTGCATCTAAAAGAAAGTTTGTTTTTTATTTTATTAACAGTACAGGCAGTCCCTGGGTTACGTACAAGATAGGGACTGTAGGTTTGTTCTTAAGTTGAATTTGTATGTAAGTCAGAACTGGTACATATTGTAGGTGAAACTCTAGCCAAACATTTCTCCAGAGCTCAGTTTTATTCTCTCACACCTCACTTCCCTCAGTCCTTTATTCTCAAGCTGAGGTGTCTGCTGAGAAAAGCCGCTCCGCATCTCCCTGGTCTGCTGGGGGGGAGGGGGCGCTAGCTTCGCGTCTCCCTGGTCTGCTGGGGGGAAGCAGCTAGTGCGGGGTTGCCTCACCCCATTTGTAAGTAGGGATCCGATGTAAGTCGGATCTATGTAACCCGGGGACTGCCTGTATGTTAATTTCACAATACCACTTTGAGTTTTTTTAATCCCAGTGTAATTTTCTTTTTAACCTTCTAAAGATGGTCATTACAACATTCAGGTGGCCTTATATTTTGTTATACAGCAATTTTTAGAAACAAGTAGTGGGTTTTACCCAAGAAAGCTCACGATATAGTATCTTTGTTAGTCTCTAAAGTGCCACAGCAGTGCTCGTTGTTTTTAAAGTTACAGACTAACACGGCTACCTCCTCTGAGGAATTTTTAGGAAAGATTTTCTCTTGGTACAAATTAGAATCCTAGACTAATAGATCTGCTTAATACACAAATTAGACTCCTAGATTAATAGAAGAATTGCTTGAATATTCATGTTTCTCTTTTTTATTTGTTTGCTCCATAACAACTATGTATATGTAATGGGATTGTAAATGAGATACAGAGCCTTTGATGTCATGGGAAAAATCTAGCCAAGCTGTTAGAAGGATATAGCCAATATCATCAGATAAATGTTGGAGGCAGATGTGAAATGTCTTGATATTCTAAATTCAGTTTCTAAGTGGAGTGCTGTCTACATTATAAACTCATCATCACAACTGGGACTAATTGGGGCACCCTTGTTGTCAGCTGAAACAGAATGGCTGAAACTGAATGTGCACTAAGGATTATTTTTCCAGTTTAAGGATGAAGTGCCTTGGTAGAGGAGGATGTGGCAGCACTCACTGCTACTACCTATGCTGTCGCAGCTCTATGCATAAATAAAAGGATTTTGGAACTGGATAAAAGGAGCCAGAACTGTCAATCCAGCACTGCAGTGGCTTTTAAAACATTTGTGTAATGGGGAAAAAAAACCCCTTCCTTTTATGTAGGAAAGATAAGTACAAAATTATGCTATCAACTTTTTAAAATACTCTTATTGAAATCCTATCAGGTACGAAACCAGCACTGGAGTCTCATTATGGAGAGTGTAGTCCCATCTGACAAAGGAAATTATACTTGTATAGTGGAAAATGAATATGGATCCATCAATCACACATACCATCTAGACGTTGTCGGTGAGTAAACTTCTATCAGCTACAAGATTTTTTTTTTAAATTAATGGCTGAGTTTTATTTCTTTCTCTTTAAAACAGATTCTCTTTCTCAGTTTAACAGATTTTTAAAATTTAATTTTGAAGCATGGTTTCAAGTAGGATATAAGAATAACTTCTGTTCTTTGAGGCTACTTCTACTCTCTTGCCCAACCTCATTGATTTCCATCTCTTATGCAGGTTGAAAAGCTCTTTACCGTGACTCTCTGGCAGGACCACGGATGTTCCAGGACCAGAGAGTCCTGATGGAGAGCTAGTGCCTGGGAGCCTTGCAGGCTAGCAGGGCAGTGGGAGCTTGACATGTGGCAGCGGGGCTTCCTGCCAGAGCAGTAGGAGCCCCACACGTGGTAGTGGAAGTGCCTAGTGGGGCAGCTGGAGCCTGGTGTATGGTGGCAGCAGGTCTGCATGGTGTGGCAGCGAGAGCCTGGTGCGTGGAGGTGGTGGGGCTGCTGGACATGCAACAGTAGGAGTCTGGTATGTGCACAGGCGACAGGGCTGCCTGGCCTGGCAGTGGGAGCCTGGTGAGCAGAGATCATTGGGGCTGCCCGGCATGGCAGCAGGCGCTGGGTAGGGTAGTAGGAGCCCAGTGTACAGAGGCAACAGGGATGCCTAGCAGTGCAGAGGGGGTTGACAGGGCAGTGGGGCCAGTAAGGGAGGAGGGAGCCAGCTAGGAGGGGAGCAGTTGGGCCAGAGCCAGAAGGGGCTCGTTGCCCAGAGGGGCCAGAAATTACCTCCTTTGGTCTGGCAAAATCCTTCATCTGGGACTGGTCAGGTCCCCAGGGTGCCGGACCAGGGAAGTCCAACCTGTATCTAAATTTGCGCTCTTTTGCCCTTTCTCACACACACCAATTTCCTTGCATCTCAGCAAAGATGATACCCAAGTGTGTGAGATCTCATAGTATGAATTATACTACAGGATGCTGATTAGTGCATTTAGAAGGGTAAATAATTCAAATCTCATTGCAGCTGTTAGAATTGTTGCATGATACGTTGAACTACTGTCATTACAGCTGAAAAAAATCTTCCTATAAAAGGGTCAGATCCTAACTGTGCAACTCTGGAATGTTAGCCCTGAAATCAGTACAGTTAATCTAGCTTTACAGTGATGTAACTAATCAGAATTTGGCCTTTGATGTACTGATTTCATTTATTGTAACATAAAAGGATAGCAATTGTGAAATCATTTAGCTCACGGAGAATCTTCTCTGAAAATTCTCATTGGTACCAAGGCCTTGGTTTGGCAGAGCACTTATCATATATATAACTTCAACCATGTGCTTAGGGCCCACCGACTTCAATAGGATTCAAGCACATGCTTAAGTGCTTTTCTACATAAGGACCTAGGATCTCAGGACCTGATTCTACCACACATACCCATTCCAAGCACTACACGCTTAAGAGAGGAGTGGTACTCAGCATGACCATGGTGATGGAACTGGGTCCTTAGTTTTTAGCATATGTAAGTAAAGCACTTGCTCACACCAGAGAATTAAAATATGGGCATCTGAAGCTTAGTGAATAAAACCACTGACCATTCAGCACTGAAAAGTAACTGAGCCAGCTCCAGCTAGAGACATGCGGCCCATTCCATCTCCTATTAAGTCAATAGGAGCCTTAGCGTTGACTTTGATTGGACAGGGATGAGACTATCAGTGTGACCCATTTTTGTCACTTCTGTATTCGTTCATTATATTTATACAAACAATAATGCACCTGTCACATTGTCTCTGGATTCCTGTAAGAGAATTAATAGTAAACAATGCTGTCCAATGTGCAAAAGATTCAACCTGTATTCAGCTGTGAAGACGAATGCTTCACAAAAAAACTTTGAGGCTGAAATTTTTCTAAAGCAGTCATGGGGTTTAGGAGCTCATCCTAATGACTTAGGGACTTTTGAAAATCACACCCTATGAGAACAGAGGAGCTTCTCAACTCTACAACAAACATAGCTCTGTCTGACCAGCAGAGAAAGATAATGCCCTCCAGAAGCCGTCCTTAAATGAAGATAGCTTTCACAAACATTTCCATTTCATCTGAACTGTTTAGCGGATTACTGCTGTAGCTTTGGCTCATGAAGAGAGATGCAGATTCTGACAGAGCTAAGACCCAAACAAATGAAGAGACTTTAGAGTACTAGCACACTTGATAGTCTGCATAGAGAGCATATTCATACAGTTTTGAGGTGAGCTAACTTAGAGACAAAGCCATTTTTGTTTGAACACTTGTTTAAACAAAGTTTATTGAGGGTGCAGCACCAACTGCTGCCAGGAATTGTAGTAAATAGTATTACACATGGCTCCATCCTATGCAGACCAGCTGGCGGACGGGTGCAGCCGAACCACATTAGCTCACCAGGGAATTCTAGCACAGTAAGAACAGAGTGGTACTGAGTTCCGTAGTGATTTTCTTTTTCCTTCAAGTTCTGGCTTTGTTCCACTTTGCTAAAGGTTACAAAGGGTTTGTAGCAGGGTAAAGGGTGGGGAGGGGGAGGAAGATCCTTTAAAAATGCATGGAGTTTTTTTTAGATGAAATGAAACTGATTAAAAGCACCAAAAATGGCCAGTTTCACTTTGTGAACCCTTTCACCCAGTTCTCTAGCAAATATGTTCACCATGGATAATGCTGTCACTTGAGTAAATATTTGCCAGAAACCCCTTACCTCCTCTCCCACTTTCAGCCCTTTCTGAATGTCATGCATTCAGGAATATTATGCAGAAGTTTATTTTTCCTGGCAGTAAATTACAGTGGACTGCATGAATGAATGGAATGGTAATAAGGATTATGTCATTTATATAAATGTCTATTCCTTTCCTATAGAGAAGCAGAAAAGTAAATAATGAAGCCAAGGTTTCAAAAAGTGATTAGTGATTTTTTTTGGTGCCTCAGTGGTTAAGTATTCACTTGAGACACTTCATTTCAGAAAGGGGATGCTCTGCACTTTCTGAACATCAGGCCCTTTCATGCGACTCAAATTGGGCACCCAAAATCATGATTCAGTATTGAAAGTTCCAGTTAATGTTTTTGGGGAGCTAGACATTTTACAATAACGTGTGCATAATCATGTTAGTCCCTAATAACCCTGTGTGTGTTTAGCTTTGTTTGTAGCTGTGACATTTCTAGTTTGACTTGAAGTCTTATATGTGCTTATATAGCTGGCATTTGATTCACTGTCTGCTGAAGTCACTGTCATTCTTTGTATTGATTAGATTAGGCCCCTAAATTGAATGCATGTAGATGGGATTGTTGGAAAGGGGTCAGGCAGATTGCTGTGGCTACAGAGGTAATGAAAACCACAACTGAGCATGAAACGGGAGTGGAGGACTGAAGTAAGCCAGTCACAAAAGAGACCTCTGTCAGCCATTTTCTAGATGGTGTATTCTACGGATTTCAGCTCTATTCCGCTGTATAGATTTTCAGCCCACATAGGGTTAAGCAGGGTTGTGGATGTGTGTTGAGAATCAGTTTCATGTTTAGCCACTGGAGATCATCTCTCACCAACTACAGGCCATAATTGGAAGCCAAGTTGTACACTGAGAGTGTTTGAAAACTGTCAGCTGAAACTCTTTGAAATTGGTTTTCCTAAATGGTTTCACTGGTTCCAGAGTTGATGTCGTGTAAGTCATACGGGACAGTATTAAACACGGCAATCTATTATAATAACACGAGCAGCTGACTATGTGCTGTAATGTAGAGAAACCTCTGATTATGTCACAGTTTTGGGAATGATCCCAGCAAAGTTCATGCCAAATAATGACACAATGCTAATTGGGAATATCCATTATTACTCGACTCAAATAACTTTCCAAACGCTGAACTTTTTGACATGTAAAAAAGCCCAGAGTCAGCAGAGCATGAGAGGTTTTCAGTCAAAATGTAGGTGCGAAGTATAGTCATTTTTACCTTGTAGGAAGGACCCTATAAAATAAGGACTCAGTTGGATCAGCCAGTCTCATTCAAATTTACAGACCTGGCACACAGTCATATTGAATTTCTTTCAGCAAGTGGGAATAGAAATAAAAGTAGCAAGTTGTTAGCCATCCTTACGTATATCACAAAAGCTGTGGCCATATTTGCAATAACTTCTAGCTGTACAGTAGAACTGGTCAAGAAACTTGATGGCTAGTGTGATTCTTGAAATGTTTTGTGATGCACCCTGTCCAAATTTTTGACCAGCTCTAATTAAATTGAGTTGTGAAATTCACATCACAGCAGAGGGTTGAGCAAATGGGACTTTCACAAAGGGTGGTGGTGAAAATGGCTTTGGGGTGGTCACCTGCTCAGCGGTAAATTTCACTCTGAGACCATTTGTTTGCAGTAGCAGCAGATGATCAGAATTTATTACAGTGCTGATACATTTAAAAAAATCCTAGTATAGCTCAGATGTTTTATACACACACATTTTTCAACCCTCCAGCTCACCATGTGAACCACGAAGTGTGTTTTCTGCCTGCCTAGAAATCAGAAATATTTCATCTCACCATCTCTCATTGTGTCCTCTTCACCAGAATGCAGAGAAAACATTAGTGAAAGAGTGAATTGAACTACATCATCTTTTATGGTCTTCAGGCATTAAATAACTCCTCCCTCAGTACTTACTCTTATGTAGAAGGTGGTAGAAGATATTAACATCATATAATAAGTGATTGTGTTTAGTTTTGTGGATGACAACAAAAAGATGAGTCCTGAGGTTCAATAGAGGTTACCCAGTTGTCTGTTTGGGACTCCAAGGCAAGTGGGGAGGATTCCATGCCCCTAGAGCTCTTGCAAAACTCCCTGAATAAATCACTTTGTTTGAGCGTTGTCCAGAGGGCTGCTGCTGCTGCTGCTGCTATTATTATTATTATTAGTCATAGTAATAGTAGCACCTAGAGCCCCAAACAAGATCAAAGACTCAATGTGCTAGGCATTGTACATACAAATAGTAAGAACTGACAATTGAAATATGAAAAGGGAAGAAAAGAAATC